CTCAAGCACATGGTCTCGAGTTCAATCCCCGGTACCAAAAAACAACAAAAACAAAACTGTATTTCTATACCCTACTGTGATATGATAAATGTTTAGCCAGGGATTTGGCTCAGTGGTTCTGAAGCCTGCCTCTCAAGCGCAAGGTCCCAAGTTCGATCCCCGGTACCAAAAAAAAAACAAAATAAATGTTTAGTCTCTGTCCCTGGTTCCTTGCACCTAACTTCTAAAGCTCTTAGAATCCCCAGTGTTGAGTGTCTTGTGTATGCTAATGAGCAGGGGAGGGTAGAGCACTGGGACTTTGAGCGCCACTCCCCCACCCCTGGGAAATGAGGGGCTGGAGATTAATCAGTGACCAATGACTTAATCAACTGCACCTGTATAAGGAAGCCTCCATCCAGACGCCCTCACGACAGGGCGTGGGGAGCTTCTGGACTGGTGAACACCGAGCTGCTAGGAGCGTGGCAGCAGGGAGAGCGCCGGAAGCTCCGCGCAGCATCAGCCCAGTACCCCGCCCTGGGCACCTGCATTTATTTGGCTGTCCCGAGTCATATCCTTTGTAACATACTTGTAATAGTAGTTATCTGACAACCTGAACTATTCTAGCAAATTATTAAAGCTGAGGGAGAGTTGTGGGAATCCGATTTGTAGCCATTTTGGACCTAATACTTCTGATTAGCGTCTGAAATGAACAGTCTTGTGGACTGAGGCCCTAAACCTGTGGTATCTTTTTTTTTTTTTTTTGGTGCTGGGGATCGAACTCAGGTCCTTGTGCTTGCGGGGCAGGTGCCGGAACCACTGAGCTAAATCCCCGGCCCAACCTGTGGTATCTTATGTAAACCCCAATTAATGTCAGAAAAGAACTGAGGAAAAATAAATAAATAAAATAAAAAAGAAAACTGAGGAGAAAGATAACCAGTTGGTGCCTAAAGAGTTGAACTGGTTGGTGTGAGGGGAAAATCCTCATATTTGGAGTAAGAAATATCATAAAAGTTCAACAAAAACAAAAAAGTGAGAAGATGGAAGAAAATATTTGTAAATCATATATCTGATTAGGGATTATCCAAAATATACAATCTTATAAGTCAACAAAAAGACAATTTTTTAGATGAGTGAAAAAGATCTAAATAAATGTTTCTCCAAAGAAGATATACAAATGTCCAAGGACCTTCAGCATCATTATTCATTTAGTAAGTGCAAAGCAAAACCACAATGAGCTGGGTTTGGTGACACATGCCTGTAATCCCATCTGTAAACCCAGATTTGGGAATAAGGGGGCAGGAGGATTCCAAATTCAAGGTCAGCTTGGACAACACTGTGAGACACTGTTGAAAAGGAAAAATACTATTTCATACATAATTAGATGGCTAGAATCAAGACAGACAAGAAGCACTGGTGGCACACTAGAGAAATTAGAACCCTCACACATTGCTAGTGGGAAATGAAAATCAGGCAGAACTGTGGAAGAGTCTGGAAGCTCCTTGCAAAGTTAATCATAGGCACCAAACGGCCTGCACTGTGGTCTGGATGCCAAGTGCCCGAAAAGGCCCAGAGGTCAAGGCTTGGTCCCTGGGGCATCACTGGAGGTGTACAAGGTGTAAGAAGTGGTGCCTAACAGGAGGTCCCAGGTTGCTGCAGGAGCCCAGGAAGGGTTGAGGGACTTGGGTCCCCTCACTCTCTTGCTCGTCAGCTCAGAGTGAGTTATTGTTCTGCTCCTGCAATAATGTCACACCTTGTGATAAACCCAAAGAAATGGAGCCAACTGATGGTGGCCTGGAACCTCCTTTCTTCCCCCAGTCCTGGGGATTTAACTCAGGGCCTCACACGGGTTTGGCAAGTGATCAGCTACATCCCCAGGCCTCTTGTTTACTGTATTTAGAGATAGGGTCTCACTAAGTTGCCCAGGTTACTTTGAATGTGTGATCCTCCTGCCTCAGCCCCCCAAGTAGCTAGGATTACAGGCATGCCCACCATGTCTGGCATCCTCTAAAACTGTAAGCCAAAATAAATCTCTTATTTTAAATTGATTATCTCATTTATTATAGTAACAAAAGACCAAGACACCCAGCAATTCCACAGAATTGTACATTTCAAAGATGAATATTATGCTATGTAAATTACATCAAATCTTTCTTTAAAAAAAGACACTCATAGCCAGGGATTTAGCTCAGTGGTTCCACTGCCCGCCTCACAAGCGCAAGGACCCTAGTTCGATCCCCAGTACCAAAAAAAAGACACTCATGAAGTAGGAAAAATATTTGCAAATCATATTTGATAAGGAATTAACAGAAAAAATATAAAGAATTCTATAACTCAACAACAAAACCCCTGCTTTTTAAAATGGCCTAAAGTGCCAGGCATGGTGGTGCACACATACCCATAAACTCAGCACTGGCGAGGCTGAGGCAGCAGGATCACCTCAAGTTCAAGGCCAGCCTCAACTACAAGGTGAGTCCTTGTCTCAAAAAATCAAAATAGGGCCAGGGATTTAGCTCAGTGGTTCCAGCGCCTGCCTCTCAAGCGAAAAGTCCCGAGAGTTCCATCCCCAGTACCAAAAAAAACCCAAAATAAAATAATAATAAGAATAAAATGGGGAAAGGCTGGCATGGTGGGTGGTGCACACCAATAGCCCCAACACTCTGGGAGGCTGAAGCAGGAAGACTAAGTTCAGCCTCAGCCTGGGAAACTTAGCAATTTAGCCAGACCCTGTCTTAAAAAAGTCTTAAAAAGGACTTAGGTGCTAAGGATTTAGTTCAGTGGCACCGCTCCTGCCTTGCAAGCACAAGGTCCTGAGTTCAATCCCCAGTAACCCCCCCTAAAAAAGAGGGGGCTTAGCTGGACTGGTGGTGCATACCTGTAATCCCAGCACTCAGGAGGATCACCTCAAATTTGAGGCCTGGGCTACATAGTGAATTCAAGGCCAGCCTGAATTACACAGCGAGACCTTGTCTCAAAAAACCCAAAATAAACTCTGAGTTCAACTCCTAGTATTGCAAAAATAAAATGGGGAGCTGCTAAAATGACAGTTTATATTATGTATAAAATTATATAAAATATAAACTAATTATATTATGTATATTACGTGTGTCTTATCACACACACAAACACCCAGACAGACTAAAGAAACGTAACACATGACTTGGATTGGATCTTGGGTTAAAACAAATTTCCATAAAAGACCTATTGGGATAGGTGACACAACTAGAATAAGGATTTGTAAAACAAGTAAATTAATGTTAAAATTTTCCTGATTTTCACAGTTATAAGAGAATCTTTAGGTGATACTGAAATATTTAGGGGTAAAAGGGCACGATGTATACAGTTTACTTTTTTTTTTTTTTTTTTTTTTTTGAATAAAACATGAGATATCAATCTAATTACATCTTATCTAGAAGT